TCTCTCTCTCTCTCTGGTACTGGGAATTGAACTCAGGGCTTCACACTTGCCAGGCAGGCAGGCTCTGTGCTGCCAAACTACATCCCTGCCCCCCACTTTTGGTACCAGGAATTGAACTCATGGCCTTGCACTTGCCAGGCAGGCGTGGCACTGAACAGTAGTTTCTTTCTCTTATGAAATCCATTTGAAGGAGATACAGTCAACCTACTAAGAAATAGCTAGGAAATAATACAATACTCTGGAGGTGGAGAAGGGAGAGATTATTGTAGCTTAGCATAGGTCTTTTGGAGAAGGTAAGACTTCTCTTAGTCGTCGCAGATTGTTCATTTGTCAAACTGGTGTAAGGGAAGTTACCTCGTAGATTTAGTGTGAGAATTAGATGAGAAAATTAATTTAAAGAGCTTAGTACAGTGCCTGGCATATGGGGAACACTGTGTAAATTATAATTGCAGAGATAACAGTGATGTCGCCAGGACCTGAAAGATGAGTACACTTGGGATATACAGAGAAGAAGAGTTACAGTATGGGGAGCGAGGAGAGTGAACATGATGTTGGGAAGGGTTACAAATGGGATATAATTTTTTTGTGTTTTTTTGAAACAGGGTCTTACTGTGTAGCCCAGGCTGCCTTTGAACTCAGTGTATAACACAGGCTGGCCTTGAGTTTGTGGCCATCCTCCTGCCTCTGCCTTCCGAGTGCTGGGATGACAGGTGTATGCCACTACACCTGGCTAAGGATACAATTTTCTTATTCCCTTGCTGATGATTATTACTCACCTGCTAGTTGAGCTAATCTAGGAGAGAAGAGGAATGGATGTTGCAGAGTCATTCGGCAGCCCTAAGGGTTTTCACTGGAAATACCCTCTGACACTGAGTCTGTTTCCTGATTGGTCCTTTTTTTTTCTTCTTTTGTCTTCATCAAGCTCAGCCCTAATGCCAGATGAGTGGATATGAAAAGCTCTGGTCAGTCCTATACAGTGAGATCAACGTGTGGTGCTTGTAAATCTAGGCTCAGTTACTTCTTGGTCCTTAGCATAGCAGATGTAAATCTTTCCTGAAGCAGAAGAAATGTGGCTTGCAGGAGGCTTATAGGAAGCCTCAGGGAATAAGGGAGGTCCCTTGAGACTATCTTTGTATGTTATAGGTGGCATCAATCAGTTATTTGTTGAACTTATGTACAAAACCATGTGTTACATGTTTGGGGTAATTCAAGAGAGGTAAGTTACATGGTTCCTGTTCTTAGGGTACTGCTAAGTTTATTGTGGAACCAGAGTAAAATACTTGTAACAGTTTGAGATCAATGCGGGATAGGTATAATTTAGTGATGGCAAACCTTTTAAAGATGAGTGCCCAAACTGCAACCCCAAACCCACTTACTTATCACAAAGTACCAACACCACAATTAAAAATGAATACTGAGGTTTTAATTTAGAGAAAACAACTCATACATTATCATCTTTTGTCTTAAAAGAAAAATAACATGCATGCAGTAGGTTCACCACCACTGGTATAATTAAATGATAAATTGCTTGCTTTTTGCAGGTGTCGCTACCTGGCTGTTCAGCTGTCTCCTGCAATTCCTGTGTTTGCTGCTATGCTCTTCCTTTTCTCCATGGCCACACTGTTGAGGACCAGTTTCAGTGACCCTGGAGTGATTCCTCGGGCTCTACCAGATGAAGCAGCTTTCATAGAAATGGAGATAGGTGAGTCCCCAACCACCTGGCAAACTACCATGCCATGGGCAGCCCTTTTCAATAAGGGGATGGAATCATAATAGTAGTTACAGATTTACAATCTACTGGTCTAGCCTTTTCTCTCTGAGATCTGGAATCTGATATTAGGGCCATACTGTGAATTTGATTAAGACAGGTGTAACAAGATTCTAAAGTCATATGCTTTATCTTGTGTTCATTTGCATTACAGGACAGATTTGTTACCAAGGTCTGGCTATATTGTCTCAATGAGAGTTTTTTTTTTTAGTAGATCACCAACACATTTGTTTTTTGACAAAAACTGTAAACTTACCCCAAAATACAGAGTCTACCAAAAAATGTATATATACTTTAGGAAAAGAAAAAATTGTATAAATATTTAAAAATTTTAATACTAAACTTATTGAGACTTTATAAGATTTACAAATTATCTTTGGCCTCTATATTTACAAGAGGTGCTTGTAGTGGTAGCAGTTAGCTTCTAGACATATTATTAGTTTGGTGAACTGCTTCTTGGGTAACCTTGGCCACTGAGATTGCTGCACATGCATTTCTAATTTCTTCTCTAAGGGTCAGCAATGTAGTGGGTTTTCTAAGATATACAGCATCCTCTAGGATCCTCTATATGAGGGTAACACATCAGTTGAAAAGCATATTATTTTTCTTTTCCTGAAGTATGTATGCATATTTTGGTAGACTCTGTATTTTATATCCATACACTTGCACACAATTTTGGTTGTAAGTTTAGGGTTCCATAGATTTTCTGAAGCACATTCATGGACCCCCCCCCAAACAAGAATTTCTGTTTTAGGGAAGTATGCAAGGTGAGAAGGGCGGCTATGGTGCCAGGAACCATAGGAATTCTAGGAAAGGTAAAGGAAGCAATTGGAGGTTCAACACTGTGCAGTCTACGGCTCAGGATAAGAATCTTTGGGGAAATGGAAATTGTTACACCACCAGGAGCCAGGATGGCTTTATGAATTGAAGCAGAATGCTCCAGGGCTAGAGAAGGGCTATACTGGGAGCTCACAGTGGGAAAAAAGTCTATTTTGCAAGTACTAGGAGGGAGTGGGAATCCAGCAGATCACAATAATGCCTATCTAAATGATTCTTCAGCATGGCACCCCAGTAGGTTCAGTTGGCATCCAAGCCAGATAGTGCAGAAAATAAAAAGGGACCCACAACTTGTAAGGCACAAAGTTATGCCTGCAGAGTACCAATCTGTGGCTAACCTTTAGTTCTTTCAGGCTGCTTTAAAGACTTCTAAGCTTTTGTATTTCTTTTGTTTATTTTAGCTGTGTTTCCTTGAAACTTCTTGGTGGTGGATTTCTTTTTAAAAAAATTCTAGCCTGTTTAAATTGAGCTCAGGAGAAGCTGGTTGGTGTACATGTGAGCTAGAACTACATAGGAGTGGGGATGAGGTTGAGAATAGTGGGAAGAAAGCAGAGGTGAAGGTGTGTTGGCACAACTGGAGTTCTGGGAAGACCTGTGACTAGAACTGGAAACAATTAAGATAGTGAGGGAGAGTTGTGAGTGCTATTTTTCCTTTATATGGGTTATTCTTTTATAGTTCCCTTTCCATCTACATATGGAGGGTCAAGGCAGTACCTTGACTTGTCTCTTGCATTCACAGCAGGTTGTCACCAAGGTTAGCTCTTCTCTGCCCCATCACTGGATGTGGGACCTAGACCTAAGTTGTCATGTTGTGACCTCTATTTTTGTCATGTTTCTCTTACTAGAAGAGTGTGTTCTTGACTTAATACATTTGTTTATATTAGCAAGTTTTTGTCAGCTTATATTCAGCTGTGGAGAATGGATGGGAGAGAAGTCATGTGATTCCTTTGTCTCATAGCACCTCCTAGGGAGAGTGAACCCTGAGCTTTGTCTCCCAGGTGCACTCTTGTAAAGCATATGCAGAGGAATATTTAAGGTAGCATGCTGGTGCTTACTTACTTGTATATCACCCTCTAGAGAATAGCTATCCCCATTCTATTAAGACTTGTGACACACTGTTATTGTTTGATTTCACAGCACCTACCCCACTCTGCAGAAAAAGGAAAAATGTTCCATATGGCAGATATTTTTGTAATCAAAGTGAATTGAAAATTATTCTTTTTTTGAATTACACTGCGTGGTGAGGGTGCAGTGAGACAGGCACTCATGTGCTGCGGATGGGCAGACATGTGAATTCATACACTCTCTGTGAAGCAGTTTGGCAACAAGTAATATGGGCTTTAAGGGTTCATACCCTTTGATCTAGTTATTAATGGTTCTCTAAGGGATTAGCTAAAGGAAAAATCAGGTATTTTAAATAAATTACTGTACGATTTTTAATGTATCATTTTAATTTTTCCTTTTGTTTTTAATATGAGTACAGCTATTTTAATGCTAGAAACTTCATATGTTACTGCTCAGACTTAAACATGCTTTTCTTTCTGTTTTAGAAATTAATTTTAACACATGAATATATTCTTGGGGAAGGGAAGAGGGGAATGAGATTGAATTGTCAAAAGTGATTTAAGCTTTTGTCCATAATGTTTTAAATTTTTGCATGTAATATCATTTGAATAGCAAAACAACCAGAGATAATTTAAATACAGGATGATTAAATAAATCACAGTATGTGCCTATCATGGAAAATGGCTAATAATGATATTTTAGAAAAAATTACCAATCTGGGTAAATGTTCTCAGTATAATGTTAAGTAAATAATTCATAGTACAAAATTATATTTTTATGATCTCAAAATTTAAATGTCATGAATGTCTATCTGTTAAGAGGAGAAAAAATATACTAAAAATATATGAGTATCTCTGAGTTGACAGATTCTTGGTGATTTTTATCTTTCATTATTTACATTTTATGTTTTTTCCAACTTTTTTTTTTTGCAACAGGGTCTCGCTATGTAGTCCAGGCTGGCCTTGAACTCGTGGGAATCTTCTGCTTCTGCCTGCTGAGTGCTGGGATTACAGGCATATGCCTCTGTGCCCAGCTTTTCCAACTTTTTAAATATTAAACATATATTCTTATTTTTATTCATCAGTCTTTTTTCATGCATATACTTCACTTTTGCTAGGGAAGAACCTCTTATACATATTTATTTTTAGCATACATTTTTATTTTTTAATATATTGTATTTTCCCGTGTCACTATTTATTTGCCTAAATAATTTTATTTTATTTTATTTTTTTCAGCTTTAATTGAGTTTATTGGTACATTTTAGGGATACAGTACAGTTACATTCATTGTTGGGGTCTTGTACCTCTTGCCTAAATAATTTTAAATGGCCATATTAGATTACATTTTACACATATATCATAATTTTACTTAACCAACTTCCTATTGTGACATGGAACATAATTGAGTTTTGGTACATTTTAGGGATACAGTACAGTTACATTCATTGTTGGGGTCTTGTACCTCTTGCCTAAATAATTTTAAATGGCCATATTAGATTACATTTTACACATATATCATAATTTTACTTAACCAACTTCCTATTGTGACATGGAACTTACTTTTAGTTTTTCATTGTTAAAAGGGACCTGTGACAAATATCCCATATAAACATCTGTATTTTTCTTTGTAATTTTTATAAGTCCCTATCAGTTATAGAATTGCTAGACAAAATAGTATATACATTTAAAATTATGGTAGCTTCTACATTGTTGACTGGTAAGGTGTAAGAATGACCTTTTATTATTTATTTATTTATTTATTTATTTTGGTACCGGGGATCGAACTCAGGCCCTTGGGCTTTTGAAGCAGGCAGTAGAACCATTGAGCCAAATCCCCAGTAAGAATGACCTCTTAAATTCCAGCAATATGGGAGCCTAAAGCAGGAGGATCACAAGTTTAAGCCCAGCCTGGCAATTTAGTGAGACCCTGTCTCAAAATAAAAAATACAAAAAGAACTGGCAGTGTTATTCAATGTGGAGGCCTTGTAATCAGTCCCCAGTACTACACATACACAAAAAGCAAGAAGCAAAATTTAGAGATAAACTCTAAATTAGAACTCAATCTGAGTGTTTTACATAAAATTTTATATCTGGATTGTGATAATGGTTTCATGTCTAAACACATTTGTCAAAACTTGCAGAATTATTCACTAAAGTTTGAATTTTGCTGTATGTGAAAAAGAATGAGTGCCCTTTTCTCACCCTTGTCTATATTGAGTATTTTTATTCTTTTTAATATTTGTTAATATAACAAGTGGAAATGGTGTCTTCTTGTTTTTTTTTCCCATTAAGTTTATTGGTACATTTTAGGTATACAGTACAGTTACATTCATTCATCATTAGGATCTTGTACCTTTACATGATGTATCTTGGTTCTTATTTTTTTCCCATTTCCCTACCCTCCCTTTACCCCCTCCACCCTTCTTTATCTATGAAGACTTTGTTTCCATGTTTTTTCTTTTCCCTTCTTTCCTTTCCCCTATCTCTCCCACTTCCCCTACTCCTTTTTGTGTTTACTTCCTATTTCACAATATCAATTATAAATTTTAATCCTTATTTATGCTTGGTGTCTTCTTATTTTAATTTTTATTTCTCTGATTGCTGAAGTTGGATGTTTTCTTTTGGTATTTTTTAAATGAATGTTTTTCTTTGTAACTAGACAAAAAACTTGAAGACACACTTTTTCACATGTATATAACAGAATTGCATAGCAGTCAGTAGTAATTTGGAGAGACAATATGTGATGTTGAAATTCTAGTCTGGAAATTCTTGCCTGGAGAAGACAGTAGGCCTAGGCACCCTTTGATGACCCACATTGCTTTTTATATAATTTTTTTGGTGTTGGGCATTGAACCCAGGGCCTAGTGCATGCTAGGCAAGTGCTCCACCACTGAGCTATATCCCCAGCCCTACCCCTACTTCCTTTGGAGAGATTGTGAGACTTTGGGGCTTAAATAATGACTAGTAGTGAATTAAACTGTCTTTAATGATTTACAGAAGCTACCAATGGTGCAGTGCCCCAGGGTCAGCGACCACCCCCTCGTATCAAGAATTTCCAGATAAACAACCAGATTGTGAAACTGAAATACTGTTACACATGCAAGATCTTCCGGCCTCCCCGGGCCTCCCATTGCAGCATCTGTGACAACTGTGTGGGTGAGTAAAACCAAGGGATTGCTGCCCAGGGGAAATTACTCAGGGTAATTAGTGATCCTTGGGAAAAGTCAATAGAGGTGAGAAGATAGAGCCCCCTCCCCCAGTACCAGGGATTGAATCCAGGACCTTGTGCTTTTGAGGCAGGCGTGGCACCACTGAGCTAAATCCCCATCCTGAGAAGATAGATTCTTATGGGAAACCAGGTAGATTTAGATAGGAAAGAAATCCCTGAACAAAAGCCGATTAGCTGTACTTGTGTGGATCAAATTATAATTTAAATGTTATCTAGCTAAAATGGAAGAAAAAAACCCCAACCTCTTTGGTAAACCAGGAAAATCAACTTTACCTGTTTTTGAAATCTAAATTTTCATCAGGCGAGGCTCACCTTACATGGGGGGAAGAGTATCCTTGTCCACTGGAGGGCAGTATTGAGGAAGGTAGGCCTATGTTGGCAGTGTTGCTAAGAGGAAAGGTGCTAGCATTTATTGAGTTTCTACTACACCCTACACTATACTATGTCTTTTCTGTTTCTGTCATTTAAGACATGTAACAAAATCCTGTAATCAATATTATCCCCATTTTACAGATGAAATACTGAAGCGCCTCTGCGTAAATTTGTGTAGTTAGCTTGAGATAAAGCTGGAAGAGTTCTGATGTCAGAGCTCTTATTTTTTCTTCCTTTGCTGCTGCTACAAGCATGGCTAGTATAGGTGTTCATAATATCAGGGTCTGTTTTTCCATCTGTACATATGTGGCTTGATTGTAAGCTCTGCCCACTATATGCTGAAACATGAGAAAGATCAGAAACAAGTAGTAAATGTGCTTTTTAAAAGGTACCTGTGTTACATGGCTCATATCACTGGACGTGATTCTGACATTCTGTATGTCATGTAGCATGTCTGAGGACCCTGCTTTCCTCTTAGTAGCTGATTGCTTACTCAAAGTTTGGGGGCATGTGTCTTGCTCTGTATGGCAAAAATTGATATGTAGATAGGATTTTGTAAGTCACAGCTTATTTATTTATTTTAATTTAATTTTTTTTTTTGGTAATTGGAATTGAACTTGGGGCCTTGTGCTTGCAAGGTAGGTGGTGGAACCACTGAACTAAATCCCCACCCTATTTTTAATTTTTGAATATTTTTGGTACTGGGGATCAAACTCAGGACCCCATGCTTGCTAGGCAGGTGCTTTGCCACTGAGCTAAATCCCTGGCCCTACAACTCATTTTAAATGGACCAGGAAGAAAGTTTAAGGTGAAGGTTTCTTAAAGAATTCTCTCTCTGTATTAATAATGCTTGCTTGCTTGCCTGCTTGCCTGCTTGCCTGCTTGCTTGCTTGCTTGCTTGCTTTCTTTCTTTCTTTCTTTCTTTCTTTCCTTTCTTTCCTTTCTTTCTTTCTGTTTGACACAGAGTCTCACTTTGTAGCTCAGGCTGGCCCTGAACTGATTATGTAGCCCAGACTGGCCTCAAACTTGTGGTGATCCTCCTGCCTCAGCCTCTCAAGTGCTGGGATGACAAGCATGCGCCACCATGCCTGGGCTCTATATTAATATTCTTAAACATACAGAACTCATGAATACTGATTTTAAAAAAAAGTAGTGTTCTAGTTTATAGATAGCTCATAAAACAGGAAGTACAGTTGTCTGGTAAGTATGAAAAAATATTCATTTTTACTAATGATCAGATAAATACATAATAAAACAGAATGATTTTTCAGTCTAGGAAATGAGCAAGGACCTGATAATGCTTCATGCTATACTAGTAGTAATGTAAATTGGAACAAACTTTTGGAAAGGCAATAATAATAAGATTTATTAAAAGCCTTAAAGCATGTAAACCTTTGATGCTGGTGATTTCTGTTCTAGAGAATCTATTCCAAGAAATTGGAGGAGTGCTGAAAGATTTAGATGTAGAAATGTTTACTTTGGGATTATTATGAAAATGAAAACTTAGGAAGAACCCAATAGTCCACCAATGGATGAGTGGTCAAATAAATTGTGGGACATTCACACAGTAGACTATGGGAAAAGTTCATACTAGAAAGCTAAATAATATAAAATAGGAGATATGCTACATTTACAATGTGATCTTACTTATATATTTTGAAAATAAAATATATAAAGAAATATGCAAGGAGACATACCAGAGTACCTGTAGTTTGTTATCTACAGGTAATGGGATTATGAATGATTTTTATTTCCTTCATTTTACATTTTTTAAAGTTTTCTACAAAGAGGATATATCACTTTTATCATCAGAAAGCATGTGATTTAAAATACTATGAAAAACACATGTCTGTGTAAGTCTACATTTTCCCAAAGATTTTATATGGCAGATTTGCTTAAAATGAGGGGAGATATGTAATTCTGGATCCAGACATTATCCTAACCATGCACATGCCATTCTTTTCTATACTCTCTTTCCCTTTATCTGAAAAGATATATTATAACCCTTTAATCAGGAAATGTACCATTCTTTTTTTTTTTTTTTTACGGGGATTGAACTTGGGTCCTTGCGCTTGCGAGGCAGGCCACTGAACCGCTGAGCTAAATCCCCACCCCTAATGTACCATTCTTATAACCTTATAGTTTAGCAGTACATAGTGCACTGTTCTGTAAACATTATTTTTTAATTCATTAAAATATATGTTCATTTTAGAAAATATAAGAAGTATAAAAAAGAAATAAAACTTAATCTTAAACTTACTCTCTATATTTCCCAGTCCTTTATTTGTGAAATGGGACCATACATGATAGTTTTTGTTGTTGTTGTTTTTGTAGTACCAGGGATTGTACTCAGGACCTTGTGCTTGTGAGGTGAGCACGGTGCCACTGGGCGAAAACCCTGGCCTTAGTCCTGCTTTTGTAATTTAGAATTCTATTTTGAGCTTTTTTTCTATATCTATAATAAATATTTTGAATATGTTATTTTAATGACTGTATAATAGTTATATTCTAATTTATTTAAGCAGTATCATATCATTAGACATTATTCAATATTCCATTTTATTTATTGTTTTAACCCTACAATCATAATTATTTTCCTTAAGCAAGTGAAGAAAATGCAACCTTATATTTCTGGTGCAGCCACTATGGAAAATAATTCTTTGATTCCTCAAAAGTTGCACACAGAATTGTTACCAGCCACTTAGGTCCATATGCTCAGGTCCATTTGCTTGCTGCTGACCATATCAAAGGAAGCCATATAGTTTGGTGAAAAGGAAGTATTTATGAAGCTAGCTCTGAGGAGATGGAGGGGCCAAACCACCATTTTGTGGTATCCAGGTATGCAAGAGCCTTTTATAGTAAGGAACAGAAGGGAAAAGAAATGCAGTAAGACAATAGATAACACCTGCTGGCCACTCCTTCTCTTCCCTGTGGAAACGAAACTGGAGTTTGACTTCGTGAGGCCAGCAGCTGAAGAGAGGAAGGGGTGGTGGTCATACTACTCTAGGCCTGAGCAAGTTTGGAGAAGGTGCTTGTCTCTAGAGAAAAGAAATCTAACTTCTGAAAGTTGCATTTTGCCTGTTGGTTACAGAGCTGCAATATGACTCAGCCTTTCTGTCTTGAGTATATACCTGTATTAATCTGCTCAGGCTAGTATAATAAAACACCACAGACCAGGTGGTTTTAAATAGCAGAAATTTATTGTCTTGCTGGGGATTTAGCTCAGTGGTTCTGCCACCTGCCTCGCAAGCGCAAGGACCTGAGTTTGATCCCTGGTACAAAAAATAAATAAATAAATAAAAAGAAATTTATTGTCTCACAGTTCTGGAGTCTGGGAAGAATTGAAAACAGTGACTCAAAATGTATTTATACGTAGATGTTCGTAGCCTCATTATTCATAGTAGCCAGAAGATAGAAACAGCCCAGGTATCCATCAATAGATGTTCAGCTAAACAAAATGTAGTATTCCATATGCATACAATGGATTATAATTCAGTCATTAAAAAAGAATTACAACGTGTAATTATGTTATGACATGGACCTTGAAAAGATGCTATGTGAAAGAAGCCACATACAAAAGGACAAATATTGTATGACTATATGGTGCTACATTGGTTCATGAACTTGATTCTTTCTGTGATTCTGGTTATAAACTGAGTTGGAAGAGAACTGAATCAAATTCAATGGTTGGGTTCAATGTTGACCTTGTGGGGAAATTTGATTTGGTTCTCATCCAGTTCGCTCTGTAACCAAAATCATAGTGAGAATTGAGGTTGTGAACCGAGGTACCACTGTAATTAAATGAAATATCTACAATAGGTGAATTCATATTAACACGTTGCCAGGTGGTGGGGGAAGGGGAATGTGAAAAATTACTGCTTAATTGGTATAATATTTCTATTTGGAATAATGAAAAGTTCCTGAAAATAGATAGTAATGTGGTTGTATAACATTACAAAAAATAAATGCCACAGTGAGTGGTACAATTAAAATGTTTAAAATGGCAAATTATTTTATTTATATTTTATCACAATGTAGTTTTCTTTTTTTATCTTATTGAGTTTATTGGTGCATCTTAGGTATACAGTACAGTTACATTCATCGCTGGGATATTGTAACTTTATATGACAAATTTTGGTTCTCATTTTTTCCCCCATTCTCTTGCCCTCCCTTCACCCCCTCCCCCCTCCCCTATTTACAAAGACTTTGTTTCCATTTTTTCCTTTCCTCATATTTTTTCCTTTCCCTTATTTCCTTTCCCCATTCTCCTATACCTTTAAATCACAATATAATTTTCAATAAAAACTGTTGAACTTAAGTTTCTGGGTATATCTCTATTTCCTTATAAGAAATTACTGAAAATGGATTTTTTCTGCTAAAAGAGTTTTAGTTTTGTTAAGGCTTTTAATATGTACTGCCATATTGCTTTCTGGGCGGCTTCTCTTAGTTTATACTCAGCAGTATATTACAGTGTCCATTTTGCCCTATTCTTTCTAGCATTGGATATGATTATTTCTTATTTTGATATACAAAATATATCTTATTTACATGGTATTTATTAACTGTTATTATACTGTTTTCTTTTTTGTTTGTTTTATGTAGATATTTTATTTTTATTTCCAGCTTTAGTGAGGTAAAATTGACAAAAAATTTATATATTAAAAGGCTACCAGGCCAGGGATGTAGCTCAGTGGTGCCGTGCCTGCTTGGTATGCTCAAGGTCCTGAGTTTGATCTGTTGTACCACAAAAACAAACAAATAAATAAATGACTACAATGTGATGATTTGATTACCACAATAAAATTAGTCACACATTATATATATAAAACTGTGTGTGTGTGTGTATCTGGTGAGGAGATTTAAAACATACCTTCAGTAAATTTCAAGGAACCTTTGACAATTTTCTTGCAGGAGTATATGTGTTTACTTATTGCTTTGTAAGGACTTTTCATATAGTTAGATACAAATTTATATGCACTGTCATTATTTTTCCTTTTTAGTTTTCTTTCTTTCTTTCTTTTTCTTTTTCTTTTCTTTTCTTTTCTTTTCTTTTCTTTTCTTTTCTTTTCTTTTCTTTTCTTTTCTTTTCTTTTCTTTTCTTTCTTCTTTCCTTCCCCCTCCCTTCCCTTTCCTTTCCTTACTATGTAGCCCAGACTGGCCTTGAACTCACATTTATCCTCCTGCCAAGTACCACCATGCTTGGCCCTTAATTTTCTTTCAAGTATTTTTGTCACATGTAAAATTATTTTTTAAAGTTCATGTAGCCAGGCGTGGTGGTGCACGCCTGTAATCCTGACACTTGGGAGGCTGAGGCAGAAGGACTGCTGTGAGTTTGAGGCCAGCAGGGCCTACATAGTGAGTCCAGGGGCCAGCCTGAACTACACAGACAGACCCTGTCTCAAAAAAAAAAGTATCTTTTTGCTTAACTTCCAAGGTGATTGTAGGGATCAAATGCGAACATTTTTCAAAAGAATAGAAACCCGTTTTTTTTTTTTTTTTTTTTTTTTTTTTTTTTTTTACCAAAGTAGGTGCTGACCCTGGGTTCTCTGGATTAGGATTAGGTGGCTGGCGGGTTGCTCTTGTTCTGATGGCTTTGGCATTGGATTCTTTCTTTCTCCTACAGAGCGCTTCGACCATCACTGCCCCTGGGTGGGGAACTGTGTTGGAAAGAGGAACTACCGCTACTTCTACCTCTTCATCCTTTCTCTCTCCCTCCTCACAATTTATGTGTTTGCCTTCAATATCGTCTATGTGGCTCTGAGTGAGTATGCAGGGCAGTGTCTATTACTTGAGTGGGGTGGGGTGAGGTGGGGTAAGACCTGAAGAGAGCTTGAGGGGTTGGGTTTCTGATGGGACTTTAGCCCACTGTTGAAGGTACCTCGAGAGGGTTAGAAGCACTACTGTTTGCTCTTGAGCTGGGCTATAAACCTCAGCTTGCCACCAGTAGTTATTTACTGAGTGTGTTGGCCTTCTCTCTGGCCATCTGTGTGTGGTGGTGGGGCATAATTACTGATCATCATTCAGAGTACTGAGGCTTTCTGAGGTGACTCCAAGTGTTGGAAATGTATTTTGGCTCTGTGTAGCCTCTCTTCCACCTGGAAGACCTGCTTTGTGCTAGGTAGTATAAGGGATTTTACCAAAGAAATTACTTGTAGAAGCTATGATCTACTTGGGAGGTAGGAAGTGCACACCCCCTGTGTGCATGTGCACACACCACATAGCACACACATACATTCCAATAGCGAAAGGTCAAGTTGCATGCAGAGTTAAGGGGTGGTCTGATCAAGACAGATTCCTAGGAAGAGAGGAGCTCTGAATTTGATTTTGCACAAGAGAGGGACACAGATAAGTGAAGAGAAAAGATTTTTCTTGACTGTTTCTGATTTCTTTCCTCTATTACTGTCCCCCTACATGCCCGTATTTGGGGCTGGGAAATGGAAGGGTGCCCAGTGCTTGGCTTCTGCCTGGTATTGCAAATGTGAATTCTTTAATCACTAGCTTGCCATCTTAGGGGTGAGACTCTTCACCTTTGCCTGAGTGACAGCTTCTCTCCGCCAGTGTGTAACACAGGATTGGGAGGAAAAGAAGCGAGTAGGCTGTGGGACACTTTGTAGTTTTGACTAAAGTCACTAATTTTCTCTCTACTACTCCTCCCAATTTCACAGAATCCTTGAAAATTGGCTTCCTGGAGACATTGAAAGAAACTCCTGGAACATATCCTCCCCTGGCAGTATGTCCCTGTGAAGTCTCCTTAAACTACTTTCCGGCATATTTTCTACAGTTCTCCCACCATCTAGTTTTCAGACATCAGAGTGTGCCAAAGCCTAAAATTAAAAAGTCTAGTCTTAGTGATGGCAACCAGAATGGAAGATGGCCAAGAATTAAAGGGAGATCTTCCTTTTACCCTTTTTTCAGCTGCCTCCCTCCAAAATCTTTCTCTCAAGTTCATCCCTATCTCCTCTAGTGGGCAGCTTTACTTTGCCTTCCTGTACCTTGTGCGTCATTTACTGGAAGCCCCTCCTTCCTGTTACCCCTAAGGCTTATTTTGTATAGTGGCTGCATTTCTGAAAAGGAGATTTAGGAAAATATTTTTTGAGACAGGGTCTTGCTATATGGTTCAGACTGGCCTTTAATTCACTATGTAGCCTAGGCTGGTCTTGAACTTGCAATGATCCTTTTGTTGGGATTCATGTGCCACCATGCCCAGTGATATTTCTATAAACTATATTCTATTTTCCCACTAATTTTTCATTTATAAACTTTATTTTTCATAGAATTTCCATTGTCAGTGATGGCCAGCATTGTTTAGTTTGACTGCTTTTAAATGTCACCTTCAAAGAGCTAATGATGAATAAACAGTCAAACACTTAAATGCACTAGAGATGCAGAGATTTATTTATACTGAATAGACAAAAATCCTTTACCTTTCATAAAGGATCTATTTTAGAATTTATATATTGTTATATACGGATATTTGGCTTTTGTAACATTCCTTCCAAGAGGTAAAGATGGCTTGATTTGAGCCATGTTGTATGGACTGAGAAATCACATTCTCCGGTATGGCTTCTTCAACATTCCTTAACCTACCCCCACTGTTCTAGAAGTCCTCATTTGCTTCTTCACACTCTGGTCCGTCGTGGGACTGACTGGATTTCACACTTTCCTCGTGGCCCTCAACCAGACAACCAATGAAGATGTGAGTCACCTTTCTCTTCTCACTACATATTCTCCCAAAAGCCTGCTCACTTGTTATGTGCTAGAGGACTGGGTCTCCAGAGCCTGGAAGGTTCAGATAAGCAGCAGCCTGGTATGGGAGATTCTTGAAAGCACTGCATGGAAGAAAAGGCAGACTGCTTTTTAGTGGAGCTAGATGCCTGTAAGGCACTGGGAAGGACAGGTTGAAAAGTTAGGTAAATATAAGGTCTTTAATTCTTCATAGGTCCTTAAAGGCTACATGATGAATCTACACGTAGAATAGAGACAGTTGCTCCAAATAAATCCTGGCTTTAAAAAAAGTTACCAATTATTATGCATTCACTGTAGAAAATCAGAAAATACAGATGAGCAAAACACAGAAAATAAATCCCTGTAACTTTACCTTCTGATATCACCTTTGTTAATGTATGATTTATAGACTTCTAGACTGGGCTAGACTTGTTCCCATGTTTGTTTATATATGTATTATGTATTTTAGGGGATACTTTCAATATTTTTTAAATTAAAACAATGTTCATACATGCATATAAAATATTTTGATCATAACCATCCTCCCATTATTTCCCTCACAATTATTTCTCACATAACCATTTCACAATTTCCCTCATATAACCATCCTTAAATTATTTTCCCCTCTTATTCCCTCCCTCTTGTCTAATAATTAGTACTATTTCTACTTTCATGTCATATTTATTTTTTGTTTTTAGGTTTCACATATTAGGGATATATATATTTTTTCTTTTTTGAGTCTGGCTTATTTTACATAACAGTTCCATTCATTTCATTGCAAATGATATGATTTTGTTCTTGCTGGATAAATAATACTCCATGATATACATACATATATATATATATGCCACCCATTTATCCATTCATATGTTGATGGCCACCAAACCGGGCTCAAATTATTGCTATTGTGAACTGTACCATAATAACCATGAGTATGCCGTTATTTCTAGAGTATGCCAACTTTAACTCTTTTGGGAATATGTCAAGGAGTGGTATAGCTAGATCATATGGTAGTTTTATTTTTAGTCCTTTGAGGAACCTCAGAATGCTACATTACATATTTTTATAAAGATAATATATCATTAATTTGCTCTTCTGTTTTGTGAATATTTTTATGTTTGTATATTTTATTGTGATAAAATACTGTATATATGATAAAAGATGTGGCATTTTAACCATTTTTATTTTTATTTTTTAGAACAGCATGCAGTTCTTTATTGTTTTCTGAATCTAGTTGTATACATAACCATTTTTAAATGTACAGTTCAGTGGTATTTAGTATATTCATGCTGTTGTGCATCTACTGCCACCCATCCACCTCCTGAAATTTTGCATTATGCTATGCTTCATGAATTTCTTCAGCGTGATTGTTATTGTAAACTTTGACTTTTATCTTTCAGATCAAAGGATCATGGACGGGGAAGAATCGTGTCCAAAATCCCTACAGCCATGGCAACATTGTGAAGAACTGCTGTGAAGTGCTGTGTGGCCCTTTGCCCCCCAGGTACTCAAGGGATTAAATGATCCTGGGACTTGGGATAGTCACCCAACCTTGTCCTGTTACCTGGTCTGATGCATTCTTCTGATTGTGGCTCATTGGAGTCAAATAGGTCTTTTTAGGGGTTGTCATGTGGTACCATTTCTACATGAGCCATCAACCTTGGGCTGATTATTTTGAAAGGATAAACTTTCATTCTTATTTTATATGTTTGTTCCTAGATTAATATAGCATTCACTGGTTTTTGGAAGAAAAAGTGAATAGAAGATAGGAAGCATGTACTAGGGTCAGGCTAAATTGCTAAAAGACAGGTTTATGTTTTCTAATATACACAACAAGGTTCAGTGTGCTTGGGTTGGTAGAGCAATGAATGACAAAGCTTTGATGATTTTTCATATCTCCTTTAGTGTGCTGGATCGAAGAGGTATTTTGCCACTGGAAGAAAGTGGAAGTCGACCTCCTAGTACTCAAGAGACCAGTAGTAGCCTCTTACCACAGAGCCCAGTAAGTGTTCCTTATTTATGGCTGAGAGCAGGTGCCAGACAGTGTGTAGACTACCTTTATAGCTTAGCAATATAATTAGGCAATTTTGTATCCTAATCTCCCTAGCTTTCCTGTCTCTGCTTTTGCGGTGACATTGCCCTGAACTCATTGTGCCCTTGGGATAGGGTAAGATTTACTCATTTTTTGACGTACTTTTTTGAGCAGCTACTCTGTGCCAGCCACAGTGCTAGGTGCTGGGGATATACCAGTGAACAAGGCACAGAATGCCTCTCCTCTTAAGAAGCTCATTGTCTGATGGGGATGATGGACAAGAAAGTGTCTCGTTTAGGGGCGCATAAAATATTATAGAAACAAAGATGGGGACAGGGGACCATGTTGGAGTTAGTGATGTGGTTACCTTGGTGGAAGGGACTTCTTCACTGGAATATGTAGATGTTGTGGAAACTTTCCCAGCTGCCCTTTTCAAGATATAGTTTATAAAATATACTTCAAAATTATTATTTGAACTCTTTAACTTTATTGAGATATGACTCACATACCATAGAATCCACATTTAAAAACAATTCTTTGGTATACTATATTCACAGAGTTGTACAGTCATCACAACAATAAATTTAAAAGCGTTTTTCCCCCTCCCCCTCAAGAAACCTTGTACACATTAGCAGTCACTCTTCCTTTCTCCCTGACTCCTACAGTCCCATCCCTAGATAACCACTAATCTACTTTTGCTTGTTACAGATTTTCCTCTTTTATACATTTCATGTAAATTAAATTCTATGATATGTGGTATTTTGTGATTGGCTTCTTTCACTTAGCATAACATTTAAAATGTTCATCTATATTACAGCATTTAGTAACACTTCATTCCTTTATATGGCTGAATAATGTTGCATTATATGAACAAGTACTATATTTTGTTTATTTCTCAGTTGATGAATATTTGACTGTTTCCAGCCTTTGATTTTTATAAGCTACTATGAACATTCATGTATAAATTTCTGCATGGACATATACTTTCATTTCTCTTGTGTGTGTATACGAATGAAATTATTGGGTCATATGGTAATTCCTATGTTTAATCTTTTGAGGAACTATTGGACTTATTTCCAAAGTAACTATACTATTATATGTAACCAGCAGCAGTGTATAAGTATTTCAGCTTCTCTTCATCTTAGGCAACACTTAGTATCTGACATTTTGATTTTATCTATCTTGGTGTGAAGTAGTATCTTATCGTGGTTTTGATTTGCATTTCCCTAACGACTGATGATGTTGTTCATCTTTCCATGTGTGCATTGGCCCTTTGTACATCTTCTTTGGAGAAGTGTTTATTCAAATCCTTTGTCCATTTTTAAAGTGGAGTTATTTATCTTTTCATTGTTGAGTTTCATGAATTCTTTTTGTGATTTGTATACAAGTCCCTTACCAGATAGATACATGATTGGCAGACATTTTCTCCGATTCTATGGGTTGTCCTTTCACTTTCTAGATGGTATCCTTTTTAGCCCCAAAGTTTTAAATTTTGATGTAGTCTGATTTGTTTTCTCTTTTGTTGCTTGTGCTTGTGATACCACATCTAAGAAACCCTTGCTGAATCCAAGGTTGTGAAGATCTATACCTCTATTTTCTTGTGAGGGTTTTATAGTTTCAGCTCTTACATTTATATCTTTAATCCATTTTGAATTAACTTTTATATATAGTGTGCGGCAGGTGGTCCACATTCTTTCTTTTGTTTGTGGATATCCAGTTGCCTTTGTACCATTTGTTGAACAAACTATCCTTTTGTCCATAGAATTGTCTTGGCACCTTTGTTGAAAATCAGTTGATTATATATGTGACAATTTGTTTCTTGACTCTCAATTCTTTTGTGTTGATCAATATGTCTGTTCTTATGCCTATATACACTGTCTTATTTACTTCAACGTTGTAGTAACTTTCAAAATTATGAAATATGACTCCTTAAACTTTATTCTTTTTCATGATTGTTTTGGCTATTGTATGTTTTAAAATTTTCCATATAAATACTGGGATCATATATATCATCAGTTTATGCAAAGAAGCTAACTGAAATTTTGTTAGGGGAGTACATTGTATCTATAGATCAATTCCAGGGATATTACCATCTGAACAAGATTAAGTTGTAAGATTAAATTTTTCAAGTAATTAACACAAAAATATTTTTACTTATTTAAGTATCAAGATCCCTGTAGAAGATCCCAATCTCCTGCTCGGTGCTACGACACAAGGCAAGAAGAAAGACACAGAGACAGAGTTAAAGAGAAAAGAGGGTGGCCAGGAAGGCCAGTACTAAGCAGCAAAGACCCTGGCCAGCCAAAGCTGTTGATATTTATTGGTGACATTAGGTTCAGAGTAAAGGGGATACATGGGGTTACTATGGATATGTTGCTGATGTAGAGAAGGCTTGTAAAGGAAGAGACAAAGCATTCTTGAATTAGGAACAAAACAGACAAAATATAGATTGTAGTTAATAATTAACCTTGTCTTTTTAGTAAAGAAGATTTTAATTCTGGGAATGGAATTTGGATAAGAGTCACTCTGACCTGGCATGTAGGCTTTGGCCAGACTCTCTTCTATAAACAAGCCAATAGTGGGGTTGACTATTTACAGCCTGCGTTTCTCACAGCCTGCTTTGGGCATAATCAATAGGGCAGTCCCCACATTTGGGTCTTTTTTATATTTTGAAAAAATATTTTGTTGTTTTTAAAATATATTTTAGACTTTTTTGTTACATTTATACATAAGAATTTTATTATTTTTAATGCTATTGTGAATGAAATTATTTTCCTAATTTCATTTTTGGATTTTTTTGGTAGGAGTATATAGAAACACAATTGATCTTTGTGTATTAATCTTATATCCTGAAACCTTGGTGAACTCGTTTATTGGTTCTAATAGATTTTTGGAGGGTTTTTTTGAGACACAGTCTCACTATGTTGTTCAGGCTGCCCTTGAACTCATTGTGTAGCCAGGCTGCCCTAGAACTCGCAGTGATCCTCCTCCCTTAGCTTCTTAAATGCTGGGGTTAGAGGTCCAGCTCTAATAGATTTTTAGTAGGTTTAAACTTTGTTTTGTAATAGAGTCCTGTTTTTATATGAATACTTTTTGTTGTTTTCTACTCACCTTTCCTAAATTTTAAAGTTTCTTTTCTTTTCTTTTTGATACCAGGGATCAAACTTGGGACCTTGTACTTGTGAGGCAGGCAGCAGAACCACTGAGCTAAATCCCTGGCCCTTTACAGTTTCTTTTTAAAGTATAGCAAACACACATTTATATATTATTATCATCATTTTCAATATTATTTTTCTGACTAGTCTGGTCCCAAATCACAACAGTCTAGGTTAGTGATTCTCAGTTAAGTGTGGGAAAGGATAGAATTTTTGAATCACTTACAGAACATTGTTAAACCATTTGATACCCTACCTTCTTTGGTTTGGAACCACTATTCTAGTGTTATGTATATGTTAGGGCCAAAATAGGGTTGAGAACCATTAGACAAGTATGTTATCACCTTCTGTTGTAAAGGGGGTGCTGTTTAATTATTTGTGGTCCCTATTATTGTCACCATGAATAATAATGGAAACATCTTTACACAACAGCAGTTAAGGATAGCACTAAATATGTTTCAGCTGCATTCTGTTGAGAAGATGATATGGTCTTGGGTCTTAATTTGGTGATTGGTAGCTGCAGATTTGTAGTATCAATGTGGTCGAGGGCTTCAGAGGACAAATTATGATTATCTGCATTTAAATTTTAGGGAGAGCTTTGCGCTGAATTTGGTATCTTTTTTTTCCCCCTCAGGTCCCAACGGAACAGCTCAACTCCAGTGAGATGCCGGAGGACACCAGCACTCCGGAAGAGATGCCACCTCCAGAGCCCCCAGAGCCACCACAGGAGGCAGCTGAAGCGGAGAAGTAGCTTATCTACAGAAGAGACTTTTGTTTCTGTTTAATTAGGGCTATGAGAAATTCCAGGGGAGAAGATAAACTTGAGACAGAGAGCAAGTAAGCTGTCCCTTTTGATGTTTTTCTTTGGTCTTTAGTCACCCAATTGCACACTGGCATTTTTTGCTGCAATCTTTTTTTAAATCTCTGGACTCAAGGCAGTAGCAGAAGAAGCCAGTCACCTGTATAAATGGATAAATGTGTCTCTTAGGTTTGTGGAACTGGTTTCCTATGGCCTCAGCCACAGGGTCTCCCTGGACTTCCATGTCCTCCCACCAGATCCCAGCTCTTATGATTGGGGTCATTGGTCTCATTCTGGGGATAAAGATTCTTGAGGCTGGCTTACATCCTCTCAAGCTGCTGAATGTCCTGAGTCCAGAGGTAGTCACAGAGACCTCTATCCTAACTGGGTTCTTGCCTCCTTCAGAATTAACGAGGACAGAGAGTGAGGTTGGAGGAGTCTCCTGGCTACCAAATGCCAGCATTGCCAGCCAATCCTTTTAGGAATAGGGCAGGTACCACTTGTATTTATTCATGTAGCTTCTCTTCTGTTCCCTGTCCACTCTGTAACACCCAAGTCCCACTCTTTCCTCACTAGCTATATGTAAGTAGTTATAGTAGAAATAACAATTTACATTTCTCATAGTCTCCAGAAACTTTCATACCTGTGCTATTCTCAATAAGAATTGACGAGATGCCAACAGCATAGCCCCTCACACTCTCTGCCTCATCTCTCCTCCTATTAGCCCCTTTTAATTTTTTTCTTTTGACTTTTGCTCCCATTAGGAGCAGGAATGGCAGTAATAAAAGTTGGCACTTTGGTGGTTCTTTTTCCTCAGAGGAAGCCTGAGTGTTCACTTAAACACTATCCCCTCAGATTCCCTGTGTGAGGCCTACAGAGGCTCTGAATGCACAAATGGGGAAACCAAGGCACAGAGAGGCTCTCCTCTCCTCTCTCCTGTCCTCTCCTGTCCTCTTCCGTCCCCTTCCATCCCCTCCCCTCTTTTCTCCTCCTCTCCTCTCCTTTCTTCTCTCCCTCTATGTCCCTTAAAAACAAACAAACACACAGAAAAAGAAGGAAAAAAAAAAGGATACAAAAGGCTAACCAGTACTTCCATTAAGCCTCGGCTGAGTGAGGAAAGCCCAGCACTGCTGTCCTTCCGGGTAACCCACTCCAAGGCCTCGGCCCACCTCGGGCATTGGTAACCACACCAGGGGTTTCTTCCAAGCCCCACTCTTCCAGCACTTCCACCGGCAGAGTCCCAGAGCCACTTTATCTGGGGATGGGATGTGGCCCCCAGTCAGCTCTGCTCAGGACCTGCACTATTTCAGGGAAGAAGATTTATGTATTATATGTGGCTATATTTCCTAGAGCACCTCTGTTTTTCTCTTTCTAAGCCAGGGTCCTGTCTGGATGACTTATGGGGACAGGGGTGGGGTGGGGTGGGAGGGAGTGTAAACCAGAACTTTTAATCTATTTGAAGGCAATTAAACTGTGTCTAATGCAAACTGCCTGCCTGTTTCTTCCCCTTCCATTTCTTTCTTTCTCTCTCTCTTTTGTTTTGTTACTGGTGATTGAACTCAGGACCTTGTGCTTACGAGGCAAGTGGTGGCACCACTGAGCTAAATCTGCCCCCCTTCCATTTCTAGAATCGTTTTGGGGATGTGAATGTGTTTGTGTGTTGGATGGGGGATAGGGGGTGGAAGGGGATGTTTATTACTACCCATACATCCATTTTCCAGGGTTCTCTTGGGTTTGAGAGATAGCCCGAATTCAAATTTTCAATTGATCTATACTATATTCTGGGCCAAAGTTTATCTTATTCCGGTCTATGAAGAATGAACTTTTAAGTGATATACAGTGTTAAGAAGATCAGCAGGATAGAGGGATTTACTTACTTAAGGGAGCAATTCTTTATTAAGGTATTGTTTTAAGCAGATAGACACTGTTAACTGCAAATGGGTCTTGCTTATTCAAGCAGGCTTACCAGGGCCTCTCCTTGGAAAAATATCGTTAGTAATCTTTTACAAGTGATGGTATATATCTCTTTCCAAATAGTCTGTATTCAAGACTTCTTACCAATTCCTATCTCACTGTTTCTAGTTAATCAGAGTTGGTGAAATTTGGCTGCTCCCAGAGTTTTCTGTACATATTCCTCTCTTCCTTGTCACAGGATTTGAGTTCAGTAAGGGGGCGGGGATTGGGTGGGAGAGAGATTGACTCACACTCAGATTTCTGTCATACCTGCTTCTACTTTCCCATTCATTTTCTGGTTCTCTCACTTTGGTTCTTAGAGTTAGATTTTAGTTAGTTTAAAATAAGGCCAGGCCTGGAGACTTTAGAAGTTACTAGATTTTTCCAGTCATGTCACTCTTGTGACCCCCTTTCTAGTCAGTATTCAGTCCATTCTGTTTTACCACATCTCTCTGGGCCCAGAGAGGAGCTCTCCTCCCTCAACTGACAGCAACCACTCTCCTGCTGATCCTTAGGTCAGTCCGATAAACTTGTACTTCTTGATGTGAGAGGTCAAAATGGAAATCTCTTATCTCTGCTACAAAATGATTTTTTTTAGTTTCTGCTTTCTCTTGCTCCCTGCTCTTTTCTTTTCCTTTATATACCTTTTGTATTTAAGACTTTGGCCTGAACATCTGTCCCATTCATACCCTGTACCAGCCTGGACTATCCCTAGTCTGAGTTCTGGTCAGAGGAGAGATAATAATTGATCTTTCCTTAGGGAAAACTGTCTTATTCTTTTTTATCTTTTCAATAGCTGACACTCTCCAGCTCTCCCCTCCCTCACCATTCCTCATGTTTCCTGTGTACCCACTTCCCCAGGCCAGGAAGGCTGGCAGTAGTCCCAAACCCCCAGGGGCAGGTAGAATTTATGTCCCTTTGGCTCCGGAGCCCTGCTGGCCCCTGCTGAGATCACTGTCTCCCACATTGCACCCTGCCCCCAGTGAGGTTGTGTTAGAGGTGGGTTCTAATTCTATAGCAGCTAAATTCCATTCTTCCTGACCCAATCATCCCTTTCTCCCTAAGGCCCCTTTTCCTATTGACCAAATCTCTTTACCTTGTTGGGAAAATAGTATTTTGTTTTTAAATCTATTTTCTAACTTAAATACGGTTTAATATGTAAATCTCTGCACTTTTGTGTGAGCCTACAAATATGTACATGTTGGGGGTTTTTCACTCTCTGGTATTTCTTAATAAAGAAATCTTTCTTTTTGAGGGAAGCCAATTAATGAAGGAGACTTGAATGGTTTTAGAAACACAGGGCTGTCTGTTTCTTTGTGCTTTTGCCTCATTTCTTTACTTGTACCTAGTGTGAGTGATTGGGACCCCTCCCCCACATTATGAGCCCCTTCCTTTGAGAGGACTCTCAACTTGGTAGGCCAGAGAGGGACCTGTCCTGTATCTGGTACCCCTCTGGGACCACTTGGATTGGCGTAAGTGGTAACCTAGCAACCTGACCCCCCTTTCTCTCCCTTTGGCCTGGCTCTATTAGTCCTTTTTTTCCAGTTCAGTTCATTTTCTACTCCTGAGGCTGGGGCCAGGCTAGGGAAAATCAAGGGATTACAGAAAATGTTTTTTTTTAAATGATAATTTGTTCTCATGCCACACTGATACTAAAGAAGAGCCATATACCCAATAATTCAAAAAGGCATTTGTGTCACTTTTGAGAATATGTTCTAGGAATTTCTGGCTGTTCTTAGGCAATAGGTTTTAGAAATAGCCTCAAAGGCTCAAACTCTGAATATCATTCATTTTAAAGGATGCAAGCCTAATTCACAAGAAGTCTTTGTGTATTTCATGTTTTGGATAAAATATAAAAGGGGAATGGGAAGTACAAATCTATACCTGTGAAACTTTTAGATGTTCTGTACAACATTAACATGGATGGAAAAAACTGGCATCATAAGCTGGCCCTAATTATTTCACAAACACAAAATGTTTTTATAATATTAATCTGTACCCCAAATTTTCAGGAAAATAACAAGTATATAAATTGGAGGAAGGTGGTATTTTATTTTGTTTAGAACTTTGCTATGAGTTATTCATAACTTTTTAAAATCATGTCATTTGTCAGTAGCACTGTTCCTGAGTATTTAAGTTGTCAACACAATCTACCTAAATGAGTCTATATTTGTGGTGATTGCTTTCAGCAGTGATTCTATGAATAGGTGGAAACATCTCATATTATATGTTTTAGTATAGTTTTGTCTACATATTTGTATTTTGAAATATATGTTGTCTTATTATGAATTACTTTCTTTTAATTTTTCCATTATAGTGCTAGTACAGTTGGTCCTCCATATCTGTGGGTTCCACATACCAGAGTCACCTAGCCGTGAAATAATTTTTAAAAACTTGTGTACATACTGAGCACTTATATTTGTCTTGTCATGCCCTAAACATTACAGTATAATAAGTATTTACATTGTATCAGGTATGAGTAATCTAGAGACAATTTAAAGTAAATGAGATATAATAAGGTCCTATGCAAGTATTGTACCATTTCTTCTAAGGACTTGAACATTTACAGATTTTGGTAGCCTTGAGGATGTGGGGACAATGGAACCAATCCTCCATGGCTACTGAGAAACTAATATACTTCACATTTCTTTCCTTGAAATGAAAAGTATAAGCATGTTGTATTGACTGTGAAGTTCATCTCAGGATGGCAAAGTGTGCATCACAAAATATCTTGTATAGCAAGGCAGTGTTAGGGCTGCTAGGCCTGAGAACCCCTGGACCAAATTATCTCAGAGGTTCCTTTCTCAAAATATTTGGAAAGCTAAGAGAGAAAGTCAGTGAACATCTCCCTCCCCTCATGCCTTTAATATGCTTTTTTATTGTATTTAAAAAGTAATACATGCTCATCATTGCAAATTCAGAAATTGAGATTAAAAATTCACCCATAACATGATATAATAATTAGTGTTAATGCTTTGGTATGTTTCTTTCTAGTCTTTTTTTCTCTGTATATGTTTAAGCATAACTGGAGTTCAACTAAATATAGTTTGGCAAAACTGTTTTTAACTTAGATTTTCCATATCATTAGATATTAATGGAAAATACCTCCTAGTGACTCTACAACATGTACTCCTAGAGTCAGACATTTAGGCATTTCCTAATTTTTCATTATTATTAATGATGCAATGATGAACTTCCTTATATATGAGCATGTCTCTGATTTCTTCCTTAGGGTGAATTCCTAGGGGTGAAACTATGGAGTCAAAAAGGAATGCCCTTTTAAAAGCTCTTGATAAATATGGCCAAGGTACTTTGCAGAAAGGTTGTCCCATTTTGCTCTGCCAATTTTATATCAGAGAGCATTCTTCCATCTATCTTATTTGAACATTTGGTCCAGTAATTTGATATTTGTAAACTTTTATCTCCGTATCATGTAGTTTATATTTCTTTGGTTAAATGAGAGGTTACAA